AAACCGATTGCACAAGCAGCACCCAATCCACGCCGTACAGTGCAGAGTAATCGCATTATCATACGCGATCTCGTCAAGGCCGATACCGGCAATTATGGCTGTAACGCTACCAACTCGCTTGGCTATGTCTACAAGGATGTGTACCTAAATGTGTTGGCACTGCCACCAGAGATCCAGGAAGCGCCGCGTAAGGAAGCGACAGTCGATGGCAAGAACGTTACATTGCGTTGTCGCGTCTTTGGTGCACCCAAGCCACAAGTCAAATGGATACACAACCATCAGGAGTTGACCGGTGGGCGTTACAACACACTACCCTCGGGAGATTTGGAGATCCAAGAAGTTGCATTCAGCGATGAGGGCGACTACACTTGCTTTGCCACTAACAAATTCGGCAGCAAATCGGCGAATGGATCGTTGACAGTCATGAAGCGCACAAGCATCATTCACGAGCCACAGAATTATGAGGTTGCCGCTGGAAAATCGGCGACATTCCGTTGTAATGAGGAGCATGACGAAAAACTAGATTTGGAGATTGAATGGTGGAAAGACGGCCAACCCATTGATTTCGAATCGGAGGCACGTTTTGTTAAGACCAATGACAATTCATTGACCATACCCAAGACTGTTGAATTGGATTCGGGCGAGTACACTTGTGTAGCGCGCACACAGTTGGACGAAGCTTCAGCTAAAGCCAATCTCATAGTACAGGACGTTCCAAACGCGCCACGCTTAGTCGGTATCGTATGCATGGCTAATAGGATAAAAGTCACCTGGGAGCCACAGGGTGACAATCGGTCTCCAATTCTATACTACACCCTCGAATTCAATACTTCCTTCACGCCCGACTCTTGGGATATCTCGTATGAGAAAGTTCCCTCCACCGAGGTTGCATTTGTCGTTGATTTAACACCCTGGGCTAACTACACCTTCCGTGTGAAAGCCATCAACAAAATCGGACCGTCGCCGCCATCTGAGAACAGTGAAGTATGCACAACGCCAGCCGATGTGCCCTACAAGAACCCTGACAATGTTCAAGGCATGGGAACTGAGCCCAATAACTTGGTTATATCATGGACGCCAATGCCAGAAATTGATCACAATGCACCGGACTTCCATTACCGCCTCTCATGGAAACGCGATATACCTGCAGCCTCCTGGGAGAGTAGAGACATCTACGATTGGCGGCAGAGTAATATGGTAATACCAGATCAGCCAACCTATGTACCATACCTGATCAAAGTAGTGGCTATAAATCAAAAAGGTGAAGCAAATGTGGCGCCCACAGAAGTTGTAGGCTATTCAGGCGAAGATCGTAAGTATCAATTTCACTAAATGCTTGTATAAGCAATGATATTTTCTAAATAAGATGATTTTTTTTTATTGAAGGTCCCTTGGAAGCTCCCACTAACTTCAGCATGGTTCAAGTCACAGCCGCTACCACAGCTATGCTGCGCTGGAATCACGTCAGCCCCGAATCAGTACGGGGTCGCTTCAAGGGCTACAAAATCCAAACTTGGACCGAGAAGGAGGGTGAGGAAGCGCTGCGCGAAATACACGTTGATGCGATTTCCGATCAGGCGCTCGTGACACAATTCAAACCCGACTCGAAGAACTTTGCGCGTGTGCTCGCCTACAATGGACGCTTTAATGGCCCACCAAGTGTGGTCATCGATTTCGATACACCGGAAGGTGTGCCATCACCAGTACAATCATTGGATGCCTACCCGCTGGGTTCATCTGCCTTCTGGTTGACATGGAAGAAACCATTGCAACCAAATGGTAAATTGACCGGCTACAAAATCTACTATGAAGAAGTGAAGGGAAGCTATGTAAGCGAGCGACGTGAACTCGAACCGCACATTACCGATCCACGACAGACGAGCACAAAAATGGCTGGTTTGCATCCAAATACAAAGTATAGAATTTCCATAACGGCGACAACAAAAATGGGCGAGGGATCAGAGTGAGTTTAATGAGAAATTGTTGAATTGCAGATACCGTACAAATATTATGTATGAAATTTATGTTTGTAGGCACTTTATTGAGAAACGTACATTACCCGAGGACTCACAGAAGCCAGCCGTACCTGCATTCGCTTGGGAGCAATTGTCATCCGATAATGGTTTTGCTAAATATCGCATAAACTGGCATCCCAGTACCGAAGGACATGCGGGCACACACTTCTACACACAATACAGGTGCGTAAGGAAATAAATTTGTAACTAAAGAATATACTTTGTGCTAGAAACTATTTCAGAAACTACTTAAATCAAATAAAGAGAACATTTAGGTTAAAATGTTGTGATTTTCAAAACCATACCATGTTTCAAACAGCACGATTTAAATATATTACAGTTAATTAAAATTTGCCTAAATTTCATCTTTTTTTTCCCCACACAGAATCAAAGGTGAGCCCAACTTCGTTAAAGTGGATCCGGAATTTACCAGAGACTTCCAAGAGATCGCTGGTCTTGACCCCGACAATGTTTACGAATTCCGTGTGGTCGCAGTTGATGGACTCCACGAAACACCCAGTGAACTAAGAGAAATCGTTGTTGAAGGACCTACTAAAGTGCCCAATCAGAATGTGGCAAATGCTGGCTGGTTCATTGGCATGATGTTGGCTTTGGCTTTCATTATTATACTTTTCATTATTATTTGCATAATACGACGCAATCGTGGTGGCAAATATGATGTACATGATCGTGAATTGGCGAACGGCCGTCGTGACTATCCGGACGAAGGTGGATTCCATGAATACTCACAGCCGTAAGTTGGAACGAATATTGAGGAAAATTATTGATCCCTCATATTTATATATTTTATTTTTTATTTGCAGTTTGGATAACAAGAGCGCTGGTCGCCAATCGGTTAGTTCGGCGAACAAGCCAGGTGTGGAAAGTGATACCGATTCCATGGCTGAATATGGTGATGGTGATACAGGTGAGTCGAAATAAAATAACAAAGTAATTAGTTGGAAAATCGCCGCGAGAACAACTTTGTCGCGATATGGCTGTAGAAACGTGTCAAGCTTCCAAAAATATGCATATGTGTGTTTGTAAATCTGTATACGTTTATATATGCGTGCACAAAAAATCGTGTTCTCGACCAGCTATCAACGTTTTTTGCATTAAATTCAATTCACTCTTTTATTTCCTATTATTTTATACATTTATGAGACATTCCAGCCCTATGCGGACACCATTTTGGCTTTTGCATCTCCGATTTTTTTCCTTATTTTTTTATGTTATAGTACCAATAGGGAGAGGCGTCCCTGATTTTTTTATTTTATTTTTTTCAACTTCAAAATTTGTAATATAAAATATTGATTGTCAAAAAACACATACTGGTCGATTTTCTTAAAAAATTTTTAAAAAAACTGCCACTTATTCCCCAACTTTTAAGCCTAGTCCGACAACGAATTTTCAAATTAATGGAAAACTAAAAAAATTTGTCCAACAAAGTCAGGGGCGCCTCTCAATTGTTACTAAATACAACATTAAAAAAATATTTACAAAAATCGGCGATACAAAATTCGAATGGTGTTCGAATTGGGCTCGAATGCCCCTTTTTACACATTTAATATGTATGTATGTACCCATGTATTTATGTATTTATTATTTTCTTCAATTTGTATAAAATGCGTGTGATTTTGAAAATGAGCACAGCGGCTGTTGTATTAAGAGGCGTTGCAAATAATTTACCCACGGTGCCTGAATTCCGAGATGATGCTGCCAACGCAGCAGCACACATACTTAAACACTAGCCATGACACTCTTTTGCAAATTACAAATTTATAGTAAATTCGTTTGAAAAAATGCTGAGGTAAAAAAAAAATACATTACAATTGCGATTTTTGGGTTAACTAACGCATGAATGAAAATTTTCGGTATTCCGTGTTTATTAACTCATAAATTTCACCTATAAATATTTTATTTACATACATACCATGCGTTTATGGTGAACTTTTTGTTTAAATTGATGGCGAAATAAATTTTTAATAAAACATTAATATTTTCTCTAATTATTTGGCATTTGTTTCTAACATATTTTTGATGGTTAAAAGTTTTTCGGCAAACTAATAAATTTCGCATTATCCTGCTTAAAATTAAAACTAAAATTCCATATATTAGATTGGACAAAAACTTAACATGCAAAAAGACTATATTCAAACTGCCTAAAAATTTTAAATGAAAAATGTAACTGGGTACTTTTTTTTACCGACTTCCAAAACAGGAGAAGGTTATCAATTCGTCGGAATATTTCTATTTTTTTTTTTTGTTTTATGTATGTTACCGCATAACTTTGGACCACGTTAACCGATTTCGATAATTCTTTCTATCGGAAAGGTAGTGTCTCACATGTGGTCCCTTACTAATTTGGTTTAGATCCAATCATTACGTCCGTCACGCTAGCTGACCCACTTCTCCAAAAACTGATAAAAATTACTCAGGAATTAGGTGCAATTTAGGTGCAATTTAGGGCCTCCAAAATTAATTTAAGTGCTCACTCGGTTTCCGAGAAAATTGCAAA